GAATGGATGGATGAGCCGGTTGCGCAACACAGCAGCGTGCGCGCACACACACACACACCGACACACAATCGCTCGTTCTTTGCGTGATAAACATATTTTATTCCTATTTTTACTTAGGATTTTTTTCTCACTCACATTATATTTAATTCATTATTTTTATGACATTAGAAATCATTTCTGATCACAGGGATCAAACAAACGTGTCCTTCGCACATGCAGGAAGTAATCTGCATCTGTTTAACATATGTTAATGAAGGTGTGTCAGGGGAGGTGTCTTACCTGCGCTCAGTTCCACGTTAATTGTGATGTACAAAAGAAATGTGTGTGGATTCAGGCATTCTCACAGTTTGATACATCAGTACATCAGTTTGATACTTCATTTTTCTTTTTTCTTTTTTTATTTCTGTGTGTTTGACCTCATTGGATAGCTCAGAGTCCACACATTCAGATTCTGTAAAAAACTAAAAGTGCCCCCGGGGAGACTTGTTCTTAGTTTTGTCATGGCCAGTCACAATTGGACAGTTCACTCAAAGGCTAATTCATGGGCAGGTGTGGGCAATTTATTTATGTTTTTCTCAGTTAACCAGATAAAAGGCCTGGAGTTGATTTGAAGTGTGATGCTTACATTTGGAAGGTTTTGCTGTGAAGAAAACATGCGGTCAAAGGAGCTCTCCATACAAGTGAAACAACCCATACTTATGCTAAAAAAAAAAAAAAATAATAAAAAAAAACATCTGAGAAATTGCTACAATATTAGAAGTGTAAAAATCTACAGTTTGGTCCATGCTGAGACAAAAGAAAGCAACACATAAACGCAAAAAGTTCTAGACACCTTAAGAAGACAACAGTGGTGGATAATCCCAGAATAATCTCCATGGTGAAGAGAAACCCCTTCACAACAACCAACCAAGTCAACAACACTCTCCAGGAGGTAGAAGAATCAAAATCCAAATCTACCATAAAGAGAGGACTGCATGAACGTAAATACAGAGGGTTCACTGCACGCTGCAAGACACTCACGAGCATCAAGAATAAAAAGGCTAGACTGGACTTTGCTAAAAAAAAAAAAACATCTAAAAAGCGTTTTAAAAAAAGAGTTCTGGAAGAACATTCTTTGGACAGATGAAACCAAAATCAACCTCTACCAGAATGATGGAAAGAGAAAAGTCTGGTGAAGATGTGGTACAGCTCATGATCCAAAGCACCACATCATCTGTAAAACACAGCAGAGCAGTGTGATGGTTTGGGCATGCATGGCTGCCAGTGGCACTGGGTCACTAGTGTTTATTGGTGATGTGACACAGGACAGAAGCAGCCCAATGAATTCTGAAGTATTCAGAGCCATACTGTGCTCAGATCCAGACAAATGCAGCCAAACTGATTGGTCGTCATTTCATACTACAGATGGACAATGACCCAGAAGATCATTAAAGTAACTGCCAAGTCAGTCACTTGATTTCATTCCATTTGAACATTTCTCTTGTTAAAGACTAAACTTCAGACAGAAAGGTCCACAAACAAACAGCAACTGAAAACCTCTGCAGTGAAGGCCTGGCAGAGCATTAAAAAGGAGGAAACACAGCGTCTGGTGACGTCCATGAGTTCAAGACTTCAGGTAGTCATGGACAACGAAGGGTTTTCAACCAAATTGAGAAATAGAAATTACATTTTATTTACAATTATTTAATTTGTCCAATTACTTTTGAGCCCCTGAAGGGATTGTGTTTAAAAATACTTTAGTTTCTCACATTTCTATGCAATCATTTTGTCCAACCTACAGATTTAAAAGTGAGCGTGTGAACTTCAACTGCATCTGAAATATCCATCCATCCATCCATCTATTTTCTGTACACGCTTCTTCCTTTTCAGGGTTGCGTGGGTCACTGGTGCCCATATCCAGCAGTCACAGTGCGAGGGGCGGGGTACACCCTGGACAGGTCGCAAGTCCATCACAGGGCCACACAGAGACAAACGAGACAAACAACCATTCACTCTCTCACTCACACCTAGGGACAATTTAGAGTTATCATTTAACCTAACAGTCATGTTTTGGTCTGTGGGAGGAAGCCTGTGTAACCGGAGAGAACCCACACATGCACGGAGACAACATGCAAACTCTACCCAGAAAGGTCCCCGGACCGGGATTTGAACCGGTGACCATCTTGCTGAGAGGCATCAGCTCTACCAACTGATCCACTGTGCCACCAAACACAAGGGATTGTGTTTAAAAATACTTTGGTTTCTCACATTTCTATGCAATCATTTTGTCCAACCTACAGATTTAAAAGTGAGAGTCTGAACTTCAACTGCATCTGAAATATGTTGTTCAAAATTCACTGTTGTAATGCACAAAACCAAAATTAGAAAAAAGATGTCTCTTTCCAAATAGACATGGACCTAACATTAGCTGTGTTTCCATTGCAAATGTGCGCAAAACTTTGTCAATATTCTGTTAATGTTGAAAAAACACAGTTTCGCAACTGCGATGTTTCCATTAAGTAAGAAATGCTATTAAAGTCACGCGTGAATACGTTTGTTCTCGTGATAAGTCATTACAAACATGGCGGTGATGGATGTAAACACATAGCATGTTGCTACCACGACACTAGCGCTCATCATCAGAGGAGACATCGGCGTCTTTTATCGAGGCTTTATTTGGGCGCGGCTACGTAT